TCTTGGATGACGGGGAGCTTAAGATCTTTATTTCTGGAAGCAAATAGTGGTCTCTTGGAGTTATGTGACCGTTGGGTGCACAACTGGTTTGTCACTCACATGGCAGAATATGTTATGGGGCGTACACACCTAATAAACACAAGATAATGACTCCCGCAGTAAATGTTGCTCCATATTGGCCAGAGTCTGCCTAGTACGAGTATTGAAAGATTAGAATACCTCAATTTAACGTATATCACGTTTTGGAATTTCATGTGGTTTTTATGAATACTTGAATGGAACTGAGACGTCATCGTCAACACATGTTTACGGAGTCTTAAATGACTAACCTTTGACTAAAGCAGCAGACTCGGGGGTTCGAATAGATCATACAGGTGCGTAAGTCAAGCAGCGTCACGCGAAACAGAAGCGGATGGCGACTGGTTGCAGAATCATGCCTAAATAATGGTCGTAGCATTCAGACGCATGTAGATATTGATGTATGCGAATCAAAAATAGCTTTGATGCAGATGGGGACAGGTCGATGTTGGGTTACGCACACTGACACGTCTGCGCTCATTCAGCGGCAGCTGCAGCTGAATACGCTCTCGATCAGTGATGTAGCGGAAAAGTTTTGGCTGTCCTAAACCCTCTAAGATAGGCTCTTGGGAGACAGAATGACCCTTGTAGCGGACATTTCCATGCCCCCCAAAACCAACTCCACCTAATTCGTCTGGTACATGCGACAAAGAACCCGTTACTTCGGCGTTACCAATCTATCGTAACTGCTTTCTTTTGTACCTGTTATAACCTACAGAAAATTTGAACATAAGTGAAAGTAAGGATTGGCTGTTCTGTTACTGTCCTTTAAGGTACAATCTCCTTGGAATAGGCAAGCCTGAAACCAAGTAATGGCCCAGTATTCGGTCGCGGCATATAGTGTGAGATTTGTGATCGTCTTTATAGCTATAAGACTGATGCTCAGTTGATTTGCCAATAACTAAACAGCGCATGCCAGTTGGCAACTGTTTAAGACCCGGGAAATGGTCCAGGAACGTACTCATAGTAAACTACAAATATGTAATTTATTAAGGTCATTTGAGGTATTTTTCCTGCTGGAGCACTTTGATGGACATCTTAAACCACGGTTTACAAAGAGTTAACATTAGAAAGCAGGACGCGAAACGTTATCCAAGAGTATCAACTCAATATATTTACGCATAAACCCTTATTGTTTAAATTAAGTATCATTTGTAAATACCAGAAAATGTGTTCTGATGCGCAGAATGGAACAGATTTAGCCATGTGCCAATCAGTGTATTTGGTGATTGATGGTATGGACGCGAACTTATACAATAGGCCGACATTTCTCAATCAAATTATTTTAGGTCAGTTTTGATATTTATTCAGCAAATCAACTGAGTATTTCTATCTTTATATCATCCTTCTAGTATCTGTACGCAAAAAACTGTCAAAAACTCGAACACTTCAAAAGACATTTGATAGAAAGACGCCGATTAAGTAGCTTTGCATAAAGGTCAAATGGTGATTTTCAAAAAATATCGCCAGACGACCTTGGATCAAAGTCATACAATGGGCGACAGCCTTGGATCAAGGCCATACGGTGCTAGACAGCCTTGGATCAAGGTCAGGGAGTGCTCCCTGAATAACTAGCGGGAGGCCATCGTACTTTTCGCACTCACTAGATTGTTCATAATTAAGCTGTTGTACTCCTTGGCGGTGAGCCGGCAACAGGCATTGGAGCGGGGACAGTGGTAAGATATATCAAATAGGCTTATAGTTTCGGCCTGGATATGATAGTACTTCACTGTCCTCTTCAAATATCACCTGGCACGTGAGTTACATTGTAGCACAAATGGCAAAGAAATACAACTTTAAAGGCTTTAAACCCTGATGGTAACCGGAATGCGTGGACTGATCAAGGGGACAAGGGCACCCAGTGACGAAGTTTCTCACCACATTGCTCATTCTCTTTTACACCCTGGACTGACGTTCCGTCTTTCGAGCTTCAACCCAGCTGTGGCGGGTTCACATTGCTATTCCTTCAGTGCTAACAGCAATAATAACAAAAAATTGTTTCATTTCCCAAATTGAGACGAGCATACGAATGGCATGTGGCTTCATGAATTCATGGTGGCATATCTTCCACCTTCACTGTTCCGTTGAGCAAGGCGTTTGCCCTGGATTGCGGATGCACGTTTGATGCGCGTGAATGCGTTAGCTGAAGAATTCCTTTAAACCAAAGTGCATGAAGCAATGGACGCTTGGTGTCGCATAGTAGTGCAGCAATCCTTCTCACAGTGATTTTTTTCAGCGACTCCGATCCTTGGATTCTGTGCACCACTTGGTATAGACCAACCGAATACTGAACATGTTCGACAAAATTCACAGGGTCGATGCAACAATCTTCTTTGACGTGGCTGAGCGGAAGCGACATTTTAGTTTATTAAATTTCCTCCTCAAAGTAGATCCTGGCACCCCATTCAGATAAATAGCTTTCTAAACGATAGAACCTCCCTGGTTGTTGTTGGTCACTCATCATCACCGAAAATAAAATTAAATAGCACACTCCCAGCAAGGCCCTACGACTTCTAATGTGCGCTGACGACATGCATTCTCTCTGCTTACTTTGTGTCCTCGATGTCTAGCTTGTATGTACCGCCAAACTGACGGAGCCCGGTGGGAACTAACCAGAGTAGTGAAACAGGCAAAAGCCTGGAACCTTCCGAAGAACTAATTGCTGCCTACGATAACGAACTGCGTGACAATTACAAGATTTACACAAATGAAGGCCATTATGCCAAGACCCCAAAAATACCCACCATCTCGTCAGAAAGAATGCTTTAGGCTGGTGAATTGTTTGATATGTTGTGCAACCAGTTTTCCAATAACGGGCAATTGAAGGCGACTATTCTTAGTTGAAGTGGAGATATTCAGTCGAGACAACAGCTATTTGCCGGGAAAATGTTAGTATCATTCTCTGTCATCCTTGGTGAATCCATCAATTTTGTTGCAAGCTGCTAACATATTTTGTTCTCATTTCGCAAGGTCACAGCCAGTATGTGACGTAGAACAGTTATTTTCTGGAGCCACATGGGCTTTATTGAAGAGCCATTTAAAAGAGTTTGCCTACAGGAAGCAGAACGTTTTTTGCCGGGGGCCATTAAAGTCTCCAAATGGACTTTCTGGGTGCAAGGGTGAGCTATGCCCAATTGAAATCGAATGCATACCAGGCAGACCTAGCAGCCCATAAGCATGTAGGCGATGTTTTGGAACAGAAGCTAGCGTGGTCATCTAGATAACCCACTAGAATTTTTGATCGCTGCGCTCCTTCATAAATCTCCAACTATGAACAAAATATGACCGGTTCTGTGAGAACAGGGACATTTGCAAACTGGCTTTGAGAAGGCGCTAAAATAAACAATGTCGCACGTTTGGAGGTTCTAGTAGATCGCCTTCGATTTAGGGCTTGCAGAATGCAGCGGTAAGTCTAAATTTCACAGCACAAGCTTGGTGCAGTTGACCGAGTCGAAATCTAGAGTGCATCTTCACTGCCAGATTCAATGCGAAATCATCGAAGATGAGGAGCTTACCTCTAAGTTAAACGGGTTCGGATGTTCAACCAAAAGTCCATAGCCTGATGAAGTTATAGCGGATGGACCGAATTAGTTTGTGCTGTGGAAGCAGTTTACGGTACAATGATGGAACGGGGTTCGAATAACCCTTTTTTGAAAAAAATTGCGGCCAGGCACCAGATACTGCGATTATGTGGAAGAAAATGAGAAAAAACAAAATTTGCAGTGCAACTTTATCTATTTTGGTGTGAGGAATATTAAAGAACAGGCACGCTTAATTGCCAGGTCCGGGCTAGTAACTGACCTGGCAACTGTTTTCTCCTGACAAATAAGTCACCTCTAATTAGGTGCTAGAGACCTACGATGGCGCAATTTTTCCGTGCTCGTCTTGGTGCTAATTGTTTGGGACGCTTCCACTAAGTGTCTATAAACCTTCGAACACGTGGAGTACGACCTGTACACCGTTCAAATGTTTTGCTGTTATCTACCGTGTCTCCAGTATATACTATTTGGGCAACGGTGATGGTTCTGAGGGATCACTTTCCGCTGTTTTCAGCCGGATGTGCCTGTAGCCACGGATAATAAAGGGTAGTTTAACCAAAATGGGACGTGTTGCAGGAGCCTCACAAGCAAATCCTAAAAATTCGCGGCTAACTTCCCGAGCTTGGTTTGCTTGTCCGGTCCCTATGCGTGAGCATGAACCAAAAGCTGTAACCCAAAAGACCGCAAAAATTGCATGTCCTAACGGGATGTAAGAAAATGGTGTCCAACTCAGAACCTCTACTAAAAAGCATTCAGGTGCACTGAGCTGCAGGATTCCTAAATATGAGTAGGACACTTTGCATCACTTAAGGGGTGAACTTCAAAATGAATTATTTACAGGATTCTCAAACCTTTTGTCGGACAATGATAACGCTCAGGTTCTCAATCTGCCCGAGGTGGTCGTATTATGGATTTACGCGGTTCTATTTTATTGCTATTCCGGTGGCTCGAGGTCTTTAGTAATCGGAAGTGCAGTATTCTGTTTGAACTTAAAATGCAGGATTAAACTGGAGGCAAAGAACGCTGGGTCGACCCTTTTCCGTTATTACTCCCGCTATCACCGGAAATGACCCTGTGATGAACATGACTGATGCTCTATTCATTGCTCTATTCATTATTCTCTTGTTTTAATATTCCATATGCTGTACATATTCTCCAATTCGAATACATACGTGCTGGTTGTTACGCTTTACTGAATTCTGGATTTCTAGTTTGTCGGGTTGTACCGGTATACGTACGAAACTTACTTCCCACATTTTGGCGTCGCGCTTGGAACGATTCATCATGCCTGTCGAAATGGAACCATTAGATGTTAACTAAACTGCGCGTGACGTAGAGGATTATTTGGAACGATTCGACATATGGTGCCTCACAAAATCCGATATGGATGAGAAGAAATTCACCGCATATTTCCTACATTTCGTCGGCAAGCAGGCGTATACTTTGATCAAGAATTTAGTATATCCTGAATCTCCAATCGATATTTCTTACACTGCATTGAAGAAAAAAGTTCTTCAACACTTCAAACCGATTAACTTCGTAGCAGCCGAAAGAGCTAGATTCAATATGTTGACCCGCTCTCATTCTCAGTCGGTCCGTGATTTCGTGTTACGGCTGCAGACACAGGCAGCCAAATGTGACTACGGTGCCCAATTGGAAGAACAGCTGCGTGATAGACTCATTGCTGGCATTCAACTGCCCGAATTGCAGCATAAGCGGTTACTCTGTCCGGATCAGAAATTTCAAACTATTCGGAAAATATGTGAGCAGTATGAAGATGTGAAGCATGTGACGAAGACTGAGGAAGCAGACTTGCTAAATTATTCTAAAACAAATAATTCAAGGATGCGGACGAACAACAAATTCAAACCTCGAACAGATTCTCGTGCCTCAAATCCATCAACACGTCACTTCATAGATCGTAACCCTAATCCGATGGCTCAAAAATTTGG